AGAGGTGGAGTTATGGGGCAGCACACTTAGGAGGCTGGAATCTGTGGGAGACCATCAGACCTACCATACTGCCCATGAAATAAAGGTGCAGGGACCATGATGATCTCTAGCATCTGATCCCCTTGGATTGGCTGGGTTTTTGCCTACATGTGCTTTGCTACTGGCTGCTTCCTGCATTAACTCTTTGTGCTTGAGTGTTCTGAAATAAAATATCTTCCTCTCCCCTGTTCATACATCCCTTTTTCACATACAGCAATGCCCTTAGGAGACGGAGTCCTTGAAAGACATGCACATAGACTATAGAACATATTTAAATTAGCATATGCGGCTGAGACTGTTTCTGCCTAATTCAGGGTTGTTCTTGCGAGTCGCGAAGTAGCGTCCGACCCATCGCAACCCTATGGACATTATTTCTCCAGGCCTTCTCTGGAGTCCACTTAAGCTAACACCGACTGCCTCAGTGACTCCATCTAGCCACCTCATTCTCTGCCGTCCCCTTCTTCTTTTGCTGTCAGTTGTTCCCAGCATTAGGGTCTTCAGTGAGTCCTTCCTTCTCATTAGGTGGCCAAAGTATTTGAGTCTTCAGTATCTTCAGATCTTCAGTATCTGGCCTTCTAAAGAGCAGTCAGGGTTGATCTCTAAGACTGCATGGTTTGATCTCCTTGTGGTCCAAGGGACCCTCAGGATTCTTCTCTAACACCACAATTCAAAGGCCTCAATTCTATGGCGCTCAGCCTTCCTTATTGTCCAACTTTCACAGCCATACACTGCAACTGGGAAAACCATAGCCTTGACTATACGCACTTTTGTTGGCAAGGTGATGTCTCTGCTTTTTAGGATAGCTTTCCTCCCAAGGAGTAAGCCATAGCTTCTTTTAATTTCTTGGCTGCAGCCTTACTGAACTTCTTTCTCAATATTGAACCAATCAGTGGTTCTGTGTCCAGTTCTCACTGTTGCTTCTTGACCTGCATATAGGTTTCTCAAGAGACACATAAGATGGTCTGGTACTCCCATCTCTTTAAGAACTTGCCACAATTTGCCTCTTTGAAACTGTGCCTATACTTCTGGTAGTTCTCGGTCCACATACTGCTGGAGCCTAGCTTGCAGGATTCTGAGCATAACTTTGCTAGTATGTGAAATGAGTGCAATGGTGCAGTAGTTTGAACATTCTTTGGCATTGCCCTTCTTTGGGATCAGAATGTAAACTGACCTTTTCCAATCCTGTGGCCACTGTTGAGTTTTCCAAATTTGCTGGCATATTGAGTGTAGCACTTTTACCGCATCGTCTTTTAAGATTTTGAATAGCTCAGCTGGAATACTGTCACTCCACTAGCTTTGTTGTTGCTCAGACTTCCTAATGCCCATTTCACTTCACATTCCAGGATGTCTGGCTCGAGGTCAGTGACCCCACCCCATTGTGGTTATCAGGGACGTTAAGCTCTTTCTTGTATAGTTCTTCTGTGTAATCTTGCCACCTCTTTTTAATCTCTTCTGCCTCTGTTAGGTCCCTGCCAGTTTGGTCCTTTATCATGCCCATCTTTGCATGAAACGTTCCCTTCATATCTCCATTTTTCTTGAAGAGATCTCTGGTCTTCCCTATTCTATTTTTTTTTTTTTTTTTTTTGTTTCTTTACACTGTTCATTTAAGAAGGCTTTCTTTTCTCGCTATTCTCTGGAATTCTTCATTCAATTGGGTGTATCTTTCTCTTTCTCCCTTGCCCTTCTTTCCTTAGCTATTTGTAAAGCTTCCTCAGACAGCCATTTTGCTTTTTGCATTTCTTTTTCTTTGGGATGGTTTTAGTTGCTACCTCTTGTACAATCTTGCAAACTTCCGTCCATAGTTCTTCAGGCACTCTGTCTATCAGATCTAATTCCTTAAATCTATTTGTCACCTCTACTGTATATTCATCAGGAATATGATTTAGGTCATACCTGAGTGGCCTAGTGCTTTTCCCCACTTTCTTCAATTTAAGCCTAAATTTTGCAACAAGAAGCTCATGATCTGAGCCACAATCAGCTCCTGGTCTTGTTTTTACTGACTGTATAGAGCTTCTCCACCTTTGGCTGCAGAGCACATAGTCAATCTGATTTCTGTGTTGACTGTCTGATGATGTCCGTGTGTAGAGTCATCTCTTGGGTTGTTGGAAAGGATTGTTTGCTATGACCATCGTATTCTCTTGACAAAATTCTATCATCCTGTGCCCTGCTTCATTTTGTACTCCCAAGGACAAATTTGCCTGATATTCCGGTTATCTTTTGGCTTCCTACTTTAGCATTCCAATCACCCATGATGATAAGGACATCATTTTTTTCGGTGTTAATTCTAGAAGATATTGTAGGCCTTCATAGAACGGGTCAACTTCAGCCTCTTCAGCACCAGTGGCTTAGACTTGGGGCGTAGACTTGGACTACTGTGATGTTGAATGGTTTGCTTTGGATTCGAACTGGGATCATTCTGTCATTTTGAAGATTGTATCCCAGTACTACTTTTCGTACTCTTTTTATTGCCTATGAAGACTACTCCATTTCTTCTGAGGGATTCTTGCCCTCAGTAGTATACCTGATGGTCATCTGAATTAAATTCACCCATTACTGTCCATTTTAGTTCACTGATTCCTAAGATGTTGATGTTCAGTCTTGTCATCTCTTGTTTGACCACATCCAGCTTGCCTTGATTCATGGATCTTACATTCCAGGTTCCTATGGATGGAGTATAGATCTTTACAGCAACGGACTCTCCTTTCACCACCAGGTACATCTTCAACTGAGTGTCCTTTCAGCTTTGACCCAGTCGCTTCATTCTTTCTGGTGCTACTAGTACTAGCCCTCCACTCTTCCCCAGTAGCATATTGGACACCTTCTGACCTGAGGGGCTCATCTTCCGGCATCATATCTTTTTTTCCTTTTGGTACTGTCCATGGGGTTTTCATGGCAAAGATACTGGAGTGGGTTGCCATTTCCTTCTCCAGTGGATCACGTTTTGTCAGTTCTCTGCTATGACCTTTCTGTCTTGGGTGGCCCTGCACAGCATAGCTCATAGCTTCATTGAGCTACAGAAGCCACTTCGCCATGGCAAGGCTGTGATCCATGAAGGGGAATCAGGGTTGGGGAACCATTTTTAACCTAAGGACTAAATTTTGACTCAGAAAACCTCCCAGTGGCCTTATGCCAGCAATTGGAGTGGTCAGAACCTGAAGTTTGTGTGGCCACCCAATGTATCACATATCTGCACAGACACATGCAAATGTATGATCACATAAACACATCATTGAGATAGATGCACACACAAGTTGACCTTCACCAGCTGATCAAGGTCATATCAAATCCCTGTCATAGCTGTCTGGCAGAGATCTGCAGAGGACTGGAAGGGTCCAGATCTTTATCCCACAGTGAAAAAAGATATAGCATGCTAGGTGGGGAAGTTGAAGGCACCCTGCCAATTATGCTATGATGGAAAAAGCTATTATTTTCCATTAGTTGTCAACTAGAAATATGAGCTTTTGCCTCCCTGAGGAGTGGAAGCAGGGCTTGGGGAAGAAGATGGAGGGGCTAGATGGGGAGCCTGCACCAGCTGTATCTTCTGCATGTGCCACAGGATTCCAATTTATAAATGTTTTGGAGAGCTTTAATTACTGGGTGGTATGGAAATTAAAGGAATAATAAAAATAATGAGCTTTCTTTCATTTACATAAAAACTGGTTTGTGAATTTCTTAAATATGCCAAATAGAGCAACTTCATATGCTATTTACAAATTATTGTTTCCTGTTAATGTTCAGAAAAAAGGGAAATTTTTTAACCATAGCTTGAAAATGTTCGAGCATTTTGTACCCAAGGAAGATGAATTTTCTGAGGATAGGTGAATTTTCCAAAGTTGAACAAGTCCCAGTCAGCTATAGATTTACAAGCTGAGTTGAAGAAGTTCCTCTTTCATATGTCTAAAAAAGAAAGATCTTTGACTAAGGTTTTAGTAATTAGCAGCCCCATTCTGCTGCTTTAGGTAGGAAGGGAATGTTCTGGAAGATACTGGCTGTACACGATATTTCTGAAATAACGTGAAAGAAATATTGAGAATCTTACTGCTTTGAGTTTTGAATAGAATATAGTTAATAGTTTATCAGCTATATATTAAAGTATTTATTTATTAATTATTTTCTTTCTAAAAGCACACCCGATAGTCCCAAACAGGATTATCTGGGCAGTATTTTTATTTACATGCATTCACATGTGCATGTGCACACACACAGAGTAAAGTTTACACACACACCCCCGAGAGAGCGAGAGAGAGAGAGAGACTTTCTTAGTGTAGTTGGTTTGTTGTAGTCTTCACCAAGCTAGCACATTCTGGATATGCTGGATTATCTCACTCATCCCCAGACAGCATGGCTAATGGTTGTATTGTATGGGAATGGTGGTGCTTGTAATTTAAAAAATATGGGAAGTACTAGGTTGAGAAAGACCTGCTTACTGAATGCTGATTACATATTCAATCTTTTTCTAGAGCATTTGTCTGAAATTAGAGTTTTGATTGATATAGGGAAAGGGTCTCCTTGAGTAAAGACTTTGCTTCAATTTATTTTAAACTTGGTTCTTTAAAAATAGTGTTCCATTGTGTTCTTATTGCCTCTGTAGTTCTGTGAATACCTGCAAGACCTATGTGTGCCTTTTCAAGGAGTTTAAAATTATCCAGGCATAGCCAAAGTAAAGTAAATGAATCTGTGTAAAAAGTCAGTCATGTTACACCAAGTGCTTTTGTATCTGTCTGTTGTTTGGAATCAACTCTTTACCATTATTTTTGTGCTACTCAGAATAAACTGACGGAAATTTCTTTTCTTGCAAAGAGATAGCTTTACTTAGCTGACCATGAAGCAGTTAGTTTCTGACTTAGATCTAATAAGCCATCTTAAAAGAATGTAATGCATGTACAGCTAAAAATCAATATGCATGTATAATCTGATAGAAAACTGAAATTACTCTTTGGCTATATTTTCTTTCTACCTAGGAATTGACAGAAGAGGGCCTTCCTTTTCTTATACTCTTTCACATGAAAGATGATACAGAGAGTTTAGAAAAGTTCCAGCAGGAAGTTGCACGGCAGTTAATAAGTGAAAAGGGTAGGTGCTGCTTTGCGTCTTCATTTAACTGAGTTTGTGGCCCAGTTAACGTCTCATAAGGAGCCACCCTGGGTGGATTTCCATGTGAGCTATTGCCCAGTCCCAGTGGTGGGGAGCCATTTTGCATATTCAGGATGTGGCGGTGGGACACTGGTGCTTCTTGTTAAATGAAAGCCCAGTGAGCACTGATCACTAAGATCGTTGACAAGCCACCCACATCCATAAAACAGCCCATGGGGTTTAGTGAGTTTAAATAGGGGTATGGGGAGCAAAACTACTTCAACATTTCAGAATGCAGAATAGTGTGTACACTTACTGAAAAGCAGGGTTGGTGGATGCCGATAAAGTAGATATGTGTGCAAACAATGAAATAAGCACCTTCTTTAAAAAAAAATCAAATGTAAAGTGGCAGTAAAGCTAGGACAAGAGCTGTGCGGAAATCAACTGAAATGAGCATTTTGATAGCCTACAATAACACAGGGAAATATTGCAGTAAGCTAAATTAGGGAGTGGATATTTAGTACGCTTCATACCCAGATGGAGAATGTTTTGGGAGAGGACACATATATTATGTGTCACCACCACAGAAAAATTCTGCAAGGGGTTTTGAACACATGATCAAAGAGTGACCTGCCTTAAAATAGCACTTCAGACACTCTAAACCATTTTCCATGGCTTCCAAGCACATATATATAGGCCACTGCCACTGACCCCCACTGCCATACATTGTAAACTCCCCCACACCCCCTGGTGAGAAGAGACAGGGCTGGGAAGGGAGAGAGGGTGGCACCATGCCTGCAGCACCTGCACCACACCTGCCACTGGAGGATGTGGGGCCTCCCATCACAGGATCTTTTTAGGGCTCAGCCCTTTGGGCATCACCAGAGGGCATTGCCCATTTGGCATCTATTTGGTGCCATTTCAGCACCATTTGGGGCAGGGACACTTGGCCACAGATTGTTAATTTATTGTTGTATTTATTGTTTTTTGCTTGTTAAATATCACCATTTTGTTGTTTCTGTATATATTTTTAAATCTATGAACAACCCAGAGAGCCCAAATAGGCTATGGGGCGGTATAAAAGTGTAATTATAATAATAGGATTATATGCAGTACCAATACCTTGCATGAGGACTATCTACAGGAGTTTCCACAATCTTCAGATGATGCTTGTGTGGGACAGCTGTTCCCAAACTGTGTTCCTCAGAACCCTAGGGTACTGCAAAAGCCTTGTGCGGTTCCACAAAAAAACTCAAAAATCAATTTAAAACAGATTTTAAAATGAAACCATACGAGGCCAACTATTTGAATGTCAGATGGTGTCTAAGCAATAAACAAGGAAATGCATCATGTCATTTGGTTCCTAGGATTCTATTGCATAATGTTGGGAATAATCAAAAGAATTCATTTGGGATACTACTGTATAATTGCTTTATTCGTTTGTTATATTTAAAATGTGTTCTCTTTATTTCCGAACCTACTATGTTATGTAAAGAGCTCACGCAATAAAAGTGGATACAAGAAGGAAGGACATTGTGGGTTCATAATGCTTAATAAAAATCAGGGATAGAATTAGGGTTCCATGAAAAAAGAATGTCTTCAGAAAGGTTCCATGACCAAAAAGTTTGTGAATTGCTAGTGTAGGAAATTGAATACATCTGAAGTGCAATTAAGACCTGTCTTGCAAAAGTGCATTACTTGGACTTGTGGTGTTACAATGAAATGTGTTAACCAATACCTTTTATGAAGCCAAAACCCCTTTTTCATTTCAAGGTACAATAAACTTTTTACATGCTGATTGTGACAAGTTCAGACACCCACTCCTCCATATTCAGAAGACTCCGGCAGATTGCCCTGTTATTGCTATTGATAGTTTCAGACACATGTATGTCTTCTCAGACTTTGCTGACTTGGCGTAAGTACACACTTCCTTTTATCTTGGCTATTCAGCTTAGAAGGGGAGGGACAGTTGTATATGGGAAGGAGGGAAGCTAAGACTTGTTTGTGTAGTAGTGCCCAAATCATGGGTAGGGAACCTTTTATGTTGCCCTGCCCTTTCCACTCACAAAGGCAGTACCACTCAACCACTCTGTTCCAGGGCCCTGAAAAGCAATTGCTTTTGGCTTCTGAGTATTTTTTTAACAGTTGAAAGAAAGCAGGGTACCAAAGAGACAAAAATGTTCATATTATGGAACAAATATGTTGTGTTCCAGTAACATACATTTATGTAGCCTCTTGCTACCTTTTTGCTCATTATGCATTTACTTGGATAGTACTGTAAGTTTAAATTATAGGTATTCTTAGATAACATCTGTATTTTTTAACTGTTAAAGATAAGAAGCTCAACTAATTTAATCCTTACCATGCTTCTAGTTGAGCCCCTCATCTTCAGAGTTCTGACAGCTCCAAAATACAGAGCTCTGGCTGCTGTATTTGAACAGGCTTTGGTGTGGGGAACCAGTAAATGATCTCTGAAGAAATGTAAATTGATATCCCTTTGGTGTTCATCTCTGGTGTCTGTGCAATTACTCAAGCGCTAGAGAAGCTTTCAAAGGCATTTTTGTCAATACAGCTACCTGACAGTCATTTGTATTTGTAAACTGTGCATTTGGCACCTGCTGTTCTCTGCTGTATTGTGGTGAGCAGGGGGTTGAAGGGAGCACACAATGAAGTTATTGGGTAGCCTAGCTCTGTGGGAATTAATGAAGAGAAAAAATGCTTGCTGTGTCCTCAGGAGATCACAAGAAAAAAGAGCTAGTACAGTAGTTTGCCCATACCCTACTCCTGCTCTCACTCCCATATTACAGACCTGAAAAGATCTTCAGCATGTAAAATGTGAGCAGTGCTAAATAGATTTTTCATTTTGTTTAAGGCTTGGAGTAATAACTTTTTGAATACTAAGTATGTAGAGTCAGTAGCATAAAAAAGCCATTTCTCTTTCTTTTTGGCAAGAGGGAGGAATATCCAGCTTTTCCAGTCTCACCTTGACTCAAGCTTCCTGTACTTTATTAGTGCAAAAAGAGGAAACACAAAATTGCAAATGAAGAAACAGAATTATAGCGTGAGAGTCCTGGAGAGGTTAAAAGATTGATAGGAAAGGGTAGGGAAGTGATAATGACAGGACCACAGCTGTAACAAAAATTAATTAGTACTCCTGTATTGTTCACGGACACTTAAACCTTTTTTATTGTAGTGGGCATTTTTAGTTAATCCTTTTACATTTATTTAGTGTGTGGGCTTGTGCTGTAACTACAGTTCTTCGTCGAGGCCTCTGTGCATCACACATATGGGTACTGCGCCTGTGCAGTACCTTTGGCCGGAAGATTGATAGCTAATGGTTTTTGGCAGGAAGCTCCGCTCCCCCTCCCCCTTGTGGCCTATAAAGAGCGGAGCGTCCACCATTTTGTTCAGTCTTTGCGACCGCCGTTCACTGTGCCTTGTGCCACTTTCGACTTTCGCTTTGGCTATTCTTGGTTCTCTCTTTTTCTTCTTTCTTCTGCGATGGCACAGCGAGCGGCTTTCCGCAAATGTGCGGACTGCGGGTCAAAAATGGCACCTACTGATCCGCACGACCTATGCCTCCTCTGCCTTGGAGAGGGGCATAGGACGGATAAGTGCGTTCATTGCCTAGCCTTCTCAAAGCAGGCTAGGAAGAACCGCGAGAACCAGCTTCGGAGGCTCCTTTGGGATAGGGCCCTGATGCAATCAGACCCACTCGTCTCTATCCCAAAACCTGGCTCCGCTTCTGTGGCTCCACCCTCACGCCCTTCGGATGAAGGTGTGTCCGCTTTGGTGGCCCCCTCTGCCTCACCAAAAAAGAGACATGAGAAGCGGAAGCATGCCGAAGAGAAGCCGGCAGGCCATAAGAAGGCCAGAAAGGAGAAGGCCTCTAAGCCTCCAAAGAAGGCTAAGTCCACGGACCGTTCCCGACATCGGGACTCAGAGCCGACGGGACCCTCAGTACCGGTGGCGGTTACGATACCGACCCCGCCCGAACCGATCCTTCAAGAGGCCATGCGGGTCACCCCTCAGGGATCTCCCCGACGTGTGGTCAACCTCCCGCCTGCACCCCTTCCAACTCTATGGGGGTCTATCTCGGATGGGGAAATCCAGGACTCCCCTCCTAGAGTGAGGTCACCGACACCGATGCCCGCGGTGACATTGGAGACAGAAGCTGGCCTGTCCCCACCAGGGAATCGGAGGAGCCGCTTGGTAGAGCAACGCCCGGAGAGTTGGCGTCATCCCTACTACCAACCTTGGGTAGACCCCTCTCTGTGGGGTACTACCCTGCTCCCAGGGCACGATCCTCACTTCCGCCCCGCGACCAACCGCGGTCTGTGGATTCGAGGAGGGTGCCACCTCGATCCCCGCAAAGCGGAAGCAGCCGCTCCTTCTCACCGGCGGAGTCATCATCTTCTGCCCCACCTTACTATGGTGCTGATTCGGATGACTCTGAAGTAGACTCAACCTCCCCGGACGTCATGGTGACATCCCAGGATTCTGCGTCACCCGATGAGTCACACATCTCCTTCGCGGAGCTGATGTCGAGGCTTGTCCAGTCCCTGGACATCAACGCTGCCCAGCGCCCGGGACCGTCGACGGACAAGTTTTACGACGTCGTCCGCGGGGAGCAATCAACCTCCATCGCTCTGCAACTTATAACTACCCTGCGGCAGGCGATGACGCAGGCCTGGGACCTACCTTCACATCCTCAGCCGACGTCCAGGAGATATGAGTCTATGTACAGGGTCCGGGAAGAAGACATCCCCTTCCTGCTAAAGCACCCGAAACCAAACTCGGCGGTTGTCGAATCCTCACAAGGCAGAGAGGCGAGGGGACATACAGCGCCGAAGGATAAGGAGGGCCGGAAAATAGATTCCCTGGCCAGGCGGGTCTATGTTGCCTCGGGCTTAGGACTTCGCATTTCCAACTACGAGGCGACATTGGCGCGATATCAATATTTTATTATGCAGCACCTCCACAACATCGCCTCCACCCTCTCAGACCACCAGGGTGACCTTGTGAAGGTCCTAATCAAAGAAGCCATGCAGGTCGCGGTGCAGCAGTTGTCCACGGCACATCACCACGTGGACACTGACTCCTGGGCCTTGGTCGGTGCCGTTTCCCTCCGGAGACATGCATGGCTTCGGAATTGTAATTTCCCAGAGGAAACCAAGCAGCGAATAGAAGAGATGCCTTTTGCTGGTTCCGGGCTCTTCCATTCACGTACCGACCACAAACTCAAGAAACTGCACAAGTCAAGAATGACGGCGCGCAGGTTGGAGATCCAGTCACGGAGATCCAGTCACATAGCAGACGTAAGTGGTCCTGGAATCGGCCATTCTACAGGCAGTCATACCAGCAGAGACAGCTGCCGCAACACCGCCAGCAACAACAGCATCAACAGCGCCGCCACCCTCAGCCCCAACAGCGCTTCCAACAGGGCCGCCGTCATTTCGACGATCGGAGGCAGCGCTGACGGGACTGGCGAACCACTCCTCATGCTCCTCTAATACCCACCCCCCTCTCATCTGGGGATCGGCTCCGAAGCCGACTCCCCATTTGGGAGTCCATCACATCTGACCGGTGGGTATTATCCATCGTTCAACATGGCTATCGAATAGAATTCGACATCGTTCCTCCATTGAGTCCGATCTGGTCTACTTCATGTTCGCCGGTACTTCTCGACGAAATACATCAACTTCTCCTTAAAGGAGCGATTCGTCAAGTATTCCCATCTGACGGACTCCACGGATTCTATTCCAGATACTTTACGGTCCCCAAGCGGGACGGTGGTCTACGTCCGATTTTGGATTTACGGGACTTGAATAAGTTTATTATACCAAGAAAGTTTCATATGACCACCCTTCAAAACATTTTGCCGTTGTTAAAGAGAGGGGATTGGTTCGCCTCACTGGACCTGAAGGACGCCTACTTTCATATTTCAATTCATCCAACTTACAGGCGTTTCCTTGCTGTTGCAAACCAACTTTATGAGTTCAGAGTTTTACCCTTTGGACTGGCTACGGCTCCGAGAGTTTTTACCAAATGCATGGCTCCTGTCTGTGCCTTCCTACGCCTTCAGGGCATACAAATTTACCCGTACCTCGATGACTGGCTGTTGGTCTCGCAATCCAGAGAAGGGCTCCTAGACACCATCCATACAACCCGTACCTTACTAGATAGTCTGGGTCTGCATATTAATACAGAGAAATCTTTTCTTCCGACACAGACGCTCACCTTCATTGGAGCCCGCTTGGATTCGACGTTGGAGAAAGCCTTCCTCAGGACAGACAGCAGACTCTCGCTCGCCATATCCATCGAATTCAACGAGAGGGAACGGTTACGGTGAGATCCATCCAGAGGGTCCTGGGGCATATGGCCTCCTCAGTTGCTGTAGTTCCACATGCCAGACTTCGGCTTCTCCCACTACAACTATTCTTCAACAAGGTGTATCATCCACAAAGAGACCCACAGTTGAAACGGATTCGGATCCCATCTTCCGTGCTTCACTCCCTGTGCTGGTGGCTGAAACTGACCAATCTCATGATGGGAGTCCCCTTCAGGGCGTGACCTCCTTCGATAACTCTCGGTACCAACACATCTCTCCTAGGATGGGGGGCGATAGGCTCTGGCCTGTCTACCCAGGGAACGTGGACTCATCTAGAATCCACGAATCATATCAACTTCCTAGAGCTGCTGGCAGTCTTCAAAGCCCCTTCGTTCTTTCGAAGACCTCCTTCATCATCGGATCGTTCAGATAACTTCGGACAATATAGCGACCATTTTTTATCTGAACAAGCAAGGAGGGACGAAGTCACCGACCTTAGCCAGGCTTTCTATGAGAATTTGGGACTGGTGCATTCAGAGACACATTACTCTGATGGCCATTCATCTGGCTGGCACAGACAACGTGCACATGGATCTTCTCAGCAGACACATCTTAACTTCTCACGAGTGAGAACTGGATCCTCATACGCGCAACCACCTTTTCAGGCGCTGGGGGTTCCCCGATGTGGACTTATTCGCTACTCGACGGAACAGGGTATGCGAGACATACTGTTCGAGAGCAGGAATCGGACAAGCATCCCTAGGCGACGCATAATGATCCCTTGGGACAACATCAACTTTTATGCTTTCCATCCGATCCCTCTTCTGATGTGGGTCATAGCAAAGATAGTGAGCGACTGTGCATCGGGGATACTAGTTGCCCCTTGGTGGCCACGTCAAGCGTGGTTTGCGAAACTGCTCGACATCTCCCGCGGGGAGTTTCTTCATCTTCCGGCACTTCCATATCTTATAACCTAAATGGACGGCACACTTCGTCACCCGGACTTGCTCTCATTGAACCTGACAGCGTGGCGGATTCGATGATTGACCTTCCATTGGGGCCGACGACGGATTCGAGAGCCTCGAATCCGACAGCTTCTATTAATCCATCGGTATCGACGATTACTTCAACTGCTTCGGTTCCGATTCTCGAATCCAACCATGCGGGTGCCTCTCACTGCCACAGTCTCTCCGTACCATCCAGTTCGAGACAGATCCCGTCGAATTCAAACCCAATGCTCTTGCACCCTGAGATTCAGCATATTATCGACTCTGCCCTAAAGCCGTCCACAAGGAAGTCATATACGGCTAAATGGAAACGTTTTTCCACCTTCGCCGAGTCTCATTCGTTCTCCCCACTCCCCAATCGAACAAATTCTTCAGTTCCTTCTGGAGTTGCATCACTCTGGACTGAAGCCGTCTTCTATTAAAGTGTATACGGCCGCAGTAGCCTACTACCGTGGCTTAGTCGACGGATCACCCCTATTTTCTCATCCTATCCTCAAGAGATTTTTGAAAGGACTGTATAATCTTAATCCATCGATTAGACCGGTTATGCCCATGTGGAGCCTTTCTGTAGTTCTGCAGGCCCTTATGAAGGCCCCCTTTGAACCTTTGGCGACTGTGGATCTCCGATTAGTTTCGTGGAAGACGGCGTTCCTTGTAGCTGTCACGTCAGCCTGGAGGGCCAGTGAACTTTGTGCCCTCCGCGTCAACCCTCCTTATCTAAACTTCCACAGAGAAAAGGTCGTTTTATGTCTCAACCCATCTTTCTTGCCCAAAGTCTCTACACCTTTCCATACAGGACAAGACATTGTACTGCCTGCCTTTTTTCCATCGCTGTCGAATCCCTTGGAAAGATCTTTGCACTCCCTTGACGTTCGGCGTTGTTTAGCCTTCTATCGATCGCGAACGGAGTCTATTCGGCGATCTAATAAACTGTTCATTAAATATTCGGCTAGAGATCAGGGCGACCCAGTCACTCCACAAAGGCTTTCTAAATGGATAGTCCACACTATTGTCTTGTGTTATCAGTTTGTTAAGCTCGAATTGCCTTCAGTTCCTCGAGGCCATTCTACTAGAGCTGTCGCTACATCTTCTGCATTTGCATCCGGGATTCCGATTGATGACATCTGCAGAGCTGCTACTTGGGCGAATCCCTGAACTTTTGCCAAGCATTACCATCTCGATGTTCGGGCTCGACGGGACTGCTCCTTCGGTAGAGCTGTTCTCTCCTCCGTCCTTCGATGAGGACACCTTCCCTCCTCCTTTGATGGTAAGCTTGTTAATCTACCCATATGTGTGATGCACAGAGGCCACGACGAAGAAAAGCAGGTTGCTTACCTGTAACTGATGTTCTTCCAGTGGCCATCTGTACAGTCACACAACCCGCCCGCCGGCCCCGCTCGGTGTCAGTGAATGGATGCATCGACAGCTCAATGTCGATGAGAGAGGGCACTTTCAGTACCAACCATCTCCTTTACGGTACCAACAAAAAAAAAAATCCATTAAGATACCGTACGTTCGGTCGCAAAGACTGAACAAAATGGCAGACGCTCCGCTCTTTATAGGCCACAAGGGGGAGGGGGAGCGGAGCTTCCGGCCAAAAACTGTTAGCTATCAATCTTCCGGCCAAAGGCACTGCGCAGGCGCAGTACCCATATGTGTGACTGCACAGATGGCCACTCGAAGAACATCAGTTACAGGTAAGCAACCTGCTTTTTTCATGGTAACGGTTTACTGCCATTTGGTTTATTTTGTTTTTAACCTATGTGTAATTTACCCCTAACCCTTTACATGCCAGAATTAATTTAATTGTATTTTGACACCGGATGTATTCTTTCAGTGTTCCAGGTAAACTCAAGCAATTTGTACTAGATTTGCATTCTGGGAAACTGCACAGGGAATTTCATCATGGTCCAGATCCAACTGATGTAGCACCTGGCCAGGTAAGAGCGCAAACACTTTACTATTTCCCCAGTATATGAGATCTGAAACTTGTGATGTCCCAGGGAACCAGAACTTCAGAAGAAAATTTTCACCATGTCAAAATAATGGAACCTTTAATTTTACCACATCAGACATTATTTATTATTTATTTATTTAGAAAATTTCTAGGCCGCCCCATTCGCTGAAGCCTCGGGGCGGCTTACAAATAAATAAATTAAAATACATAAATAACAATATAAAATCCACATAACTGTATAAAATAAGTTGCCCTGGCCAAATGAACCTGAGAGTTCTACGTTGGCTTTGTTTAAGATAATGTGATGACTTTTCCTTCAGTCCCAATAGTATTTAAAAACACAGTTCTGCCAAAACCAGAAGTAATCATGGTAATATACCGTACACCAGGACTGAACAGTTGTATTGTCAAGGTTGTTTTCACCTTGGTTAGAAATGGTCTGTCTTGAATGCCTATGATATTTAAAAGTGTAAATATCACAATAATTAAATATTTTTTCTGTGTGGACCTTTGTTCAGAAAAGGGTACATTGGTACTTCTCTTTCAGAACAAATTCAGCAGGGCTTGTTCTGAAAGACCTAATTTCAAAGTACAGGAGAGAGTATCAATAGTACTAACATATGCATTGCTTTATGCCAATTGAAAAAGCATCATGTAGCCCATTATGCTAAGTACTGTAGACAGCACATTTCCTGATTGAGTTCAAGGCAGAGGTGTATTTGAATTGGGGGTGCCTTGTTCACAGCTCAGTTTTGGCCACTACATTAACTTAAATTTAATCATGGTAATTGATCATGCATATCACTCTACATCATTTACACAGAATGCTGGCAACTTGATTTAGAAGATGATTTTGTTCTTTTCAGCCACTTCAAGACATAGTAAGCAGCCCACCTGAGAGTTCATTCCAGAAGCTAGCACCCAGTGGACATAGGTATACCTTATTGCGGGAAAAAGATGAACTCTGAAAACTTGAACCATCTCACAAGACTTTAACAGCAGCAGTGACTCCTGTGGGGTGGAAATAGGAAACCTATATTTTCATAAATTCTGTGTATTTTTATTTTGAATAATCTTTTTTTTCTTTGCTCCCTGGGGTTTGTAAATATATGTGGGCCATTTTGGACAGCATCTTCCAAAGTTCTTTTTGGTGCAAATTGTGCTGTACAACTTTTCTAATCAAAATGAAGGTGTTGTCATTGCCAGCAACATGCTGTTAACTTGCACTATGCCATTAAACAGGACTTCTGGGTTTCCGTTGGTGTAATCTGGTAGTATGACCGCCTTATCTTCCTCTTCCACATCAACTTTATTTTGTTAATTTCCTATTGAAGGGATATTCTGGATACTTGGGAGGAGAATAAATTACAATTTTACAGAATTTTTGTAGTGGCACCTCATTTATTGTGACCATGCATTTTTTGAAAACGTGAGAAGAAAAATTCTTAGGAACTCGGCTGTCTTTTTTTCATAGCTAGTATCATAAGGTATCAAGAAAGCACTGTGAAAGCTGACTGAAAAAAAAAAAAAAACCAACTATGAGATTACTTCTTTAAAAGAAACAAATATCACCAGTACAGATGCTTCATTACTGCTATGAGCTGTATTTGGGAATAAAATGTTTTAGGTAGGATGTTATGCATAAAACATTACTGTATAATTTCACAGTTGCTATAAATCAGCCAAATCCTGTAAATATTTCCAAACTGTTTGGAAGAACATGAAAGCAGAGTCTCTTAAGCATTCCATATCATCTAGTTCTTTATGAAAGTAAAAGGAACTAGAATCGAATAATCTTCCCATGGGGTCCATACTGTAATGCTAAATATATTTTTCAGTATTTTTTGTAGCAATATTCACCTGTCTTTTCTGAAAAGAGTCACTTACTCAGGACTTGGGAATCTGGTGTCCTCCAGATGTTTTGGATGACAACTCCTAGCTTTATGATAATTGGCCATGTTGTCTAGGATTGATGAGAGTTGCAAACCCAAATATCTAGCAAAATCTTGCCTACCCCTGAAGCTGTTTATGAAAGGGCATCAAATTCTTTGTACCAATCACAGATGCTACTTTTTCACATCATTTTTAAATGGATTATTATTTTTATTTTTATTTTTATTCAGGAATTAAATAGATAATTAACCAGCCTACACAGTTGAAACAATTGTTCCAGAAATTAATGTTTGCCATCTCAGAAAAATTAAGAATGCAAATTAAGTCATTTTATTGTGCTTCTGATCCAGTTGATAAATTTCTAAAGCCTTCAGTAACTATCTTCTAGACATGGGTGTTCCAATGTCATTCCATTGTTGTCTAGCCATTACAGTTCTGACTGCTTTTAATATGATCAAATCTTCAATAGTTCATATTACTAAACTACAGAAAAAACTATGTCAAATTTTACAATAATTCCCAGTATTGCATATAACATCTGGCTCCCAAAACACTTTGACCTCTTGACAGCTCTGCAGTGCAGCTACAAAGCCTGCATCTGCCCTCCCATACCTTCAACTGACAATTCACCCTAGATAGTCTGCTCATTATTTGGGTAATTGTATACTGAGCTTTCTTCAATTGTATACTGAGCTTTGTTCAGGAAGAGAATTTAGTTCAAGATTTCTAACTGCGCCTTATTTTCTGTAAATTTACCACCATCATGAGCTTTGCACTGTTGAACATTCCCTTCTATATTAACACACTTCTTAAGTATAACACATTAAAGGTGAAAACTCAGGGTTCAGTCTATTCCTGTATTTGAACTAGCTGCTTAATATGTTTTATGATTATTTAACTTAAATAATTCTTCATCATTCATGGGAGAACTGGAATTCTTTTTCCAGGTAAAAACTAGATCTGAGTTTTTTCATCCAAGCCATTTATCCATGTTGGTTAGGAAGTCCCAAAAAACTAGTTGAAATGGTAAAAAGCAAGTCAGGGTGCTTTCAATATGTCCATTTTTACCCTAGTTTCTTTTCCTTATTAACTTTCTCATTAAAAGCTTATCCTGACATAAGATTTCTACCCACAGATCTCTTCAGTTATATCCCCCACTAGACCCGATAATTTATCACACCTATCCAATGCATGTTTGTCATGTGCTGCCTCATTTCCATAATTACATATACCAGGACAGAGAGAAGATTGAATCATGTCTTCTTTTCCTTCTCTGATTGTGTGAATCCAGGGAATTCCTGTTTCTTATCTTCAGGGCTAGTATTTAATTAAAATTTATCTTTGCTTCTTTTGTGAAAATCAGCTCCAGTTCAGTTACTTTGGTATCTGCTTCTTTAAATCTAACATGTATTGTAGTCATATCCAAAATACTGGGTAGACTTGATTGAACAGTTTGATACTTTGCATATTCATAAAAGCCATTTTTGATACTGCACTTCTCAGATACAATAGGAGATATGATCAAGTACTTTATCCACTTTGAAAGCTAGCACTCTTAACAAAAAACGGGGGAAAATCTGTCACCTTACATATAATTTACAGGTAGTTCTTGAGAGGGCTGGTATAGCATTCAGCCACATGATCCTCCTATGTATTTTGAAATAGTACATGTTGATAACAAATGATATATATACATGTGTAGTCACACCATTAATAATTTTAGAACATTGCTACTTGGAGCTACATACCAAATTGGCATGAAAGCTTTTAAAAATATGAAGAGGTTTGTTCTGTCATAGTCACTGAATTATGAATATACAAAATATAAATATATATTCAACTAAAAGACTGTGGAAGAAAAACTATAAACTGAGAAATGGGTGCACACCAGAATAGCTGGCATGTGGTATATAGAGAGGAAGAACAACTTATATGGTACTCTTCTGGATAACTGAAGGTCTTCACATGCTGTGTCTTAGCATGTGTGGTCTCCCACGGAGGCAGTGTATGTGCGATCTAGCATCCTTACATGGCGTGTATTTTACACATCAGTGCAGACCATCACTGAGAATTGGGATATTTGCAGATGAAGCGTGAAGACCCCGGTTGACAAACAGTACCTCCATGTAACTTCAGCCTTGTATTTGTTGTGCATACTCCAAAGGAATCCACCACCTATCTGAACAGTGCTTAAGCTAATTTTTTCAGTCACTTTCATAGTGAACCCTGCCCTGAATTTGCTGTTTTTACAACAGGTACACACTGGATAAATATTTTGATTAAGCTAGTCCAATGTTTGTTTTTGGTCAGTCATTGCTAGCTTTGGAGCTTATCTCAATCTCTTAAAAATAAAATAATCCCTAGTAACTACTATTTGATGTAGGCAAACTTGGCTACTGCAGTTCTCACACCTAACAAATTCGAATGCACCAGTCCCAATACAGGTGCTTGGACAACCCTGCAGTTTACATCCATTTGTTGTGCAAACTGATTTATTCCTTCTCTGCTGCATCTTCTTCATCCAATTACTGATTCATAAGATCTTGTGCTCTTATCCTGTGACTGCTACATTTACTTAGATTTGTCAAACTAACAACTGAATGATTACTCTTCTAACAAATGCCACCTCTGATGGTAGTATGTTATTATGAATAATGGTTGGACTTTGAATTATTCACAGAAGAGCTGAAAGTTAAGTGGACATAACCATGTTAGAAAAAAGACCATTTAAAGGTAATCTCGCTTAATTTCACTATGATACTTTATGTGTCTTTAGTGACTGTCAGTTCAGAATTTAGAATCCTGAACATTAGTGTTCTTTTTCTCTTTTTTTAGAACACACATCTATGGCCATGGCCTTTAGCTTGGATGTGTGCTGGCAAAACCTGGAGAAATATTTGTTTATTGATGCCAGGCTTTAGTGTCTTTGTGTGTTCCCAAGTTTAGCAGTAAAACATCCATCACATTCGAGGGTGCACAATATGAGTTCCCCAAATATAGAATGCTGTTTTGAAGTCTATGGTTCATCCCTGGATTTTAGGGTAGAAGTCTCTTTTCCAGGCCAAGGCACAGCCCTCATATGCATGAAATGTTAGTCTCACAGTAGAATAACCTTTAGCCTCCCTGATTCTTGCACTAGAATTCCAGGGTAGGCAGCCTGCCTAATTTCAAACATTCTGTATGAGCAATCACTTCCAATGTTTGGTAAAGTAATCTGTTCATACTGTGACAACCTACTGGGTAGGAAAGGAAGAAGGAAAGAAAAGAAATAATGGTTGTGACTTTCTTACTTGGTTTTGTGTCTGGCACTTTGCATTCAGTTAATGCTCTGTTTGTTTTCTCATGTTACAGGTCTGCATGTAATAAAAATTGTGTTCTTGAAGTAATATGGAATAGCAGACTTTCCTTGCTGGTGCCTTCCAGATGTTTAGGAGAACAGCTCATATCATTTGTGGCCATGCTAGCTGCAGCTGATACAAATTGAAGTCTAAACCATCTAGAGGGCACCAGGTTGGGGAAGACCAATGTATACAAACGGCTTCATTCTGTAAATGAAAACTTTGCATAAAAGAACTTTAAGGCATATAGGCACTTTTAAGCAAATGTAGTGCATTATTCCCCCAATAATATTTGAAGAAACCTCATTGTTTTGTAAATGCATAAGGAAAAATGATTCTGGTTGCTGGAAAGTTATTCTTTCAAATAGTTTTGTTTTCCTTGTGTCACTTAAAAGGATAAGAAAGCTCTTCAAAAAGTAAATGTTCACACTATGTTGGAAGACATAAATGGCTGGATTATGGGTGTACTTTCTGCTGTAACAAGTGTTTTGTAAAAGTAAAATTCTTACTGCCTGTGGCATGACCACAACAAAACTTGACCAACAATGACAGAATCTGTGTGGCAGAATAGAATTTTGACTTCAGTATTATGCCACCAAGATACACAAGAAGGCTGTCTGAAGTAAGGATCACTATGAAGCATCTCATTTCACACTAACTTGACCTCCTTGAATTGAATCTAAATTTCTATTCATGCCATGAATTGTATTAGGTAATGGTAAAGCCGTATGTACTAGCTGGTCTGTGATATAATACAAGATGTAAACTTGTGTGGTTTTCTCCGAACAGTTTGCTCTCTTGTTGTTCACTACTTCACAAGATCACAGATTTTAAAAATGGTATATTGATGAATTAACTTCATTTTCATCTATATAAATGGGGGATAACAATAAATAGATCTGTCTCCCATCTGCAATGTTAAGCATAATATGCCAACTGCAAACAGCAAAAGAAAAGTACTGGTTTGGGATTCTAAGAAAATGTGAGGAAGAATAATGATTTTGGCTTTAAATATCTTCGTAAAACAAGCACCTGCTTCTGCATAAAATCTTTCAAGTATCTGATGGTAGACAAAAACTTGGCTTAGTATATAGAGGGATTATAGATTATTATGACAGAAGGTATCACAGAAAGGATAAGCCCTAACCTG